TTCATTCACTATCTTTGGATGTGGATTTTTTTTTTGAGGAGAAGGTAGGATAAGAGGAGGCTTAAAGAAAGAGGGCCCACCATGGGAGGTTCCTCCAGGCAAACCAGCTACAGAACAAGGAACATTTATAGCTGGAAGAAAGCAAAGCAAACTGAAAGTACAAGGTGGAGAAGTCCTTATCCTGGGATGAAGGATGTAAGAGGAAATGGATGGAGATCTGACAGTGGTCTGGTGCAAGAAGAGGGGCTGGTGGAAGATTTGAAAATCAGGAGGGATTTAATGAAGTGGCAGGATAGAAAGGAGAATTTGTGGAGAGTGCTGATGTTGGTGAATCAGCCATGCAGATAAATAACTTCAATCATCATGATAGACTTGTGGATCACAATTCATAGTATATACAAAGTAAAATCTTGGAGGGAGAGGATTGCAGATGGATGCCCACTGTCCCTCCCCTCTACTTTGCTAATTTGATTCTGAATCCCCTCAACATTAGCTACTCACATTTTAACAATGCTTACCATGTGGCCGGAACAAAGCTAACCACATTACAGCATTATCTCATTTAATCTTCCTAGCAATCTTAGGAACAAGTGCTATCCAAAAAAACTCTTTTACAGATGGAGAAATGAGCTCAAAGAGTTAGCAAATTATCTAAGGTCACAGAACTAGACTTTGAGCCATGGTAGAGGTAACAGAGGTCAGAACTCCCTCCCATCTGCTCAAACTACTTCCTTGATTCAGTGTATTAGTTTTTAGATGCTGTTGTTAAAACAAACAAACAAGCAAAAAACCCCAGCAACACAAACTAGGTGATTTAAAATGTCCAAAATTTGTTGTTTCCTAGTTTGGGGGACCAAAAATTTGAAATCTTAGTTTTTCAGAACTGTGCTTCCTTTGGTTGTGCTAAACAAGGGTCTGTTCTGTTGAGAGCCACAGCCAAAGGGGCCCCAGCAAACTTCCAGCTGCCGGCTGATGATTGGCTCACAGCGGCCCCAGCAACATCTAGCTGATTGGCTCCTCTGTGGTGATGCTCATTGGAGATGCTCATTGAGCTGTTTCCCTGCCCTTTCAGACTGCCAGCTGATGATTGGCTCACAGTGGTCCTAGCAACATCTAGCCGATTGGCTCCTCTGTGGTGATGCTCATTGGGCTGTTTCCCTGCCCTTTCAGACCACGGAGCTGCTCATTGGGGGACTTTTTTGGCTCTGCCCACGCGACCCAGCCAATCGGCCTCAAGAGCAGGAGGATTGTGGGAGGTGGGGAGGCTTGTGGTTTGGAGGGAGAGGCTTGTGGGAAGCCAGTGGTGGCAGTTGGGCTCTGAGGGTTTTTCCTGAGGAGCTGTTTTGTTTGGCATGTGTGGTTCTAAAAATAAAGTTCGTTTCTTTTGACAAGTGTTTCCTGAATTGTGCCCAGCCAGACTGCAGCATTTCGCCTAGCCGTCTCCTTGCAAAATTCCTCATTGGCAACCTTCCATAACAGGTATTGACCTCCATTTAGCACAGCTTTACTTACACATATTAGCCCAATCTGTTGGTGTCATGTTCAAGTTGTTAATGGATTCAACCAAGCTTACAGTGAAGGGTGATTGAGGTAGGTTGTTACAGCCTCTTTTAGCTGCTTCACTATTTTGAAATTTAAAGCATGGTGAATTTGCTGCCCTCCTACCTCAAATACAGGGCATGTTAATACTTGAGATCCTGTCTCAGGATCCCAACTATCAACTGCGGGGGTTGGGGGCCTCCCAGCATAAGGAGGTGGCCTTGTTAGTTGTACATTTACATCCTCTGGTGATAGAAAGGTGTTAGTAGCAGTCTCCTGTAGAGGTGGTGCTGTTGGTTGGACACTTATACCCTCTGGTGATAGAAAGTTGTTAGTAGCAATCTCCTTTTGTAACTTTTCCCCAGATGGCTTTTTCTGCTCTAAACTTCCTTCCTCTGACTAGCTTGAGAGGCCTTCTCTTTTACTTGAATCTTTTCCTCTTTCTGACTAACTTGAGAGACCTTCTCTTTCACTTGAATCAATATGTCTTCTCCTTCCTCTACCTTTGTCTGAACTGAAGGCTTTGGACTAAGCAAACAAGATACGAACGTCCACAATGGCAATGTGCCAACTGGCAGAGTCCCTGGGCTTTTCTTTTCTACTCTTTTTAAATCTTCACCATGATGGTTCTATTGTGATATGTTTAACGACTCCTCCTTAAAAAGCCATGGGCTACATTTTTGTATTGTATCAACGTATGCCCTGACTGCTCTTGATTTAACTGAGATGCCTCCTTCCTCAACAATTTACTTAACAGTCTTTCGGTTTGTTTTTTACTAATTTCTGATCCCATATTTCTACTATAATACAACCCAACAAGATAACGCCTAACAAAACTGAAACAGAGTGAAACAAAATTGGAACAACACAAAATCATTATAATAGCCTCCTGAAATGTCCATCCGTCCTATCTGTTCCTCAGATGTGATCAGTTTTTCTTCCACCTTTTTTCTTACACATCTCCAGGGACAGGCAACTTTAACAAAAGTGAAGCAAAACAAAAGAATAATCTTAAAATGGCTACCCATCCTCTCACCCTGCCCTCAGGGGCGAGCAGTTTACCTTATTACTTACCCTCAGTCGTTCCCCGTGTGGCCCACCAAATGCCGCAGTCTGGCTGGGCACAATTCAGGAGCTACTTGTCAAAAAAAACGAACTTTATTTTTAGAACCACACACGCCAAACAAAACAGCTCCTCAGGAGAAACCCTCAGAGCCCAACTGCCACCACTGGCTTCCCACAAGCCTCTCCCTCCAAACCACAAGCCTCCCCACCTCCCACAATCCTCCTGCTCTTGAGGCCGATTGGCTGGGTCGCGTGGGCAGAGCCAAAAAAGTCCCCCAATGAGCAGCTCCGTGGTCTGAAAGGGCAGGGAAACAGCCCAATGAGCATCACCACAGAGGAGCCAATCAGCTAGATGTTGCTAGGGCCGCTGTGAGCCAATCATCAGCTGGCAGTCTGAAAGGGCAGGGAAACAGCTCAATGAGCATCTCCAATGAGCATCACCACAGAGGAGCCAATCAGCTAGATGTTGCTGGGGCCGCTGTGAGCCAATCATCAGCCGGCAGCTGGAAGTAAGGGTCTGTTCTAGGATTCTCTCCTAACTTATGGTAGTTTCATGGTGTATAGCAATAACTCCAATCTGCACATTGCATTTTCCAAGTGTGCAAGTCTGTTTTCATGTAACATTCTTTTTATAAAGATACCAACTATACAGATGAGATTCCCTTCAACTCCAGCATGATGTCATCTTAACTAGTCACATCTGCAAGACCTGTTTCCAAATAAGCTCATATTCTGAGGCACTGGGAATTAAGATTTCAACATATGAATGGGGATGGGGGCTTCACTCATAGCACCCAGGAACCTGAGTCCTGTGTCAGAGATGCCCTTGACCCATTCCCTCCTCTGAACAGGCCTTTGGCAAAGCTTCCTTTGTTTTGAGGCAGGAGTCCTTGGGCTCTGCTGCCTGGTTCTGGGGCTCAGCTGTGGACACATATTATAGTGATAGCCTTGGCCTGATGGGTTTGAGTGGTTCCAAGGGGCAGGTGCTCTGTCCTTCTGCCATGACCAGCTGTATCTTTGTCATCTCTGCTTGCTGACAAGAGAAACTCCTGCTATCCTTTGTTCATTATTTTTGTTTCACTAAATAGATTCACTTCCATCTGTGTGCTTCTCAATCTATGAGGCTTATTATGTATTTGTTTCACAAATGCTTCCAGAAAATGACTTTGTCTCCATTATAAATGCACTATGACTCATTTCTACTTTACTATTTGTGGAGTTAAAATGGGTTTCTACCTCCCCCTGCCAAGACCCCAGAAAGTCAAACAGACAATGTACCTTCTTAGGTGCCCCATTATCTTTGAGAATACGATGATCTGCATCCTCTCCCTTCTTTACACTGACTTCAGAAGCTGAGGCCTGTTGAACTGCTTTCTTGGCTGGTTTCTATGCAGTAGCACATTTGACAGGGAGCTGGGATTTGAATGATTCTATTAACTCCCCAGAAAAGCAAGCCTCATTGGTGTCCCTCCTCTTTCTGATTTGGAAGTCTGCAGAGGACACACACAATCACTCTCCCCTTTACTGTATAATGTTCCAATCAGCAGCTAGCATAATGAAATCCAATTAATGTGTTAGGCTGTTGTGATTCTAAAAATATTTCACATCCCCTGGAGGGACTAAGGAAATTGGAGGAATCAAGGTATTATAGCCAACCTGTAATTTGCAGAAAGGTTCTTCAATCATTTTGGAGGTAGGAGATTTGTTCTTGAGAAAACAAAAATAGATCACCTCTCTGAAATGAAGCTGTCTGTGAGATCATTCCGATGGTCCTTTATTCAGGTGCCAGGCCTTGCATGCAAGTCTAATGATCCTTTGGTTCAGATATATATGAATTATTAAGGTCAGTTAATTAACACATTTTTCTTCTGCTGAAGTAATTAGATGAATAGAGCTTTTGCCCTCTTTTTGGCTTTCCTGGCAGTTGCTCAGAGCTGAATAGAGGCAGTAAACATATTGCCACACAGATGCTAACCAGAGAAGTAATTTTTCGGTTTCCGATTGATTTTTGAAGTGTCATCCTGCAACTGGAAGCAGCTTTTACTTGGGGAGGCAGGAGGGGCAGCAGGGAAATAGAGGAGAGTGAGAGTGAGCAACAAGCCATTGTATGAAGCTGCCCAAAAGCATCTTCTAGGTAGCCAATATTCATTTGTCATTCCACCTAATTTAAGGCTTCACATTTTACAATTTTATGCTTCCCTCACAAAGTCTTCATGCCATTTGTACAAAAGTTATCCAAAGAGAATAGTTATTATAGCTGTTGGCATTAATATTCCAAGGTCATTTCCTTTCTCTCCCCAGCGTGGCCACAAATTTTTAAATTGCCAGAGATAAGAATTCAGTAGGTTTAAAGTGATAGGACTGTAATTTGGGTTTTTTTTATTTTCTAGGTCAATGATTCTCAAGACTGCCTTTGCACCAGAGTCATCCAAGAGAGCATAATAAAACACAGATTCCCAGCTTCACCTCCGATCAACAGTCTCCACATCTCTGGGGATGGGGACTGCAAATCTGCATTTTATGTCTCCCAGGGTCAGTCTGAAGCTCAGTCATGGTGTGTAAACTGCTGATCTTGGTAATGCAAATGGAAACATCAACACTCAAAAATTTTCTCCCTTTTCTTGCTGACAGGCAATGTGTTATCATTCTTCACCCCAGGCCTGACAGCCAGTGCAGGAAGGCCTCTGGACTTGGCCTAAGCAAAATAAACAAAATTGCATTTGTGACTTGGTGGTTGTGTGAAAGGTCTTGTTCTGCACTGCTGTATGTTTTTTGTCTCCAGGGCCTCTGCTGACCAGAACAACCAGCATTTTGCAGAAATTGTCCACTATGAGAAATCTGGCTGACTGAAGAGGCAGTGCCCAGTAGAAGAATAGATTCAAGAAATAGGTACTAACTGTCAGACTGCCCAGAGCTTGTTTCCACCTACAAAATAGACTTAGTAATAATGATTCCACGTGGCTGTAAAGAAGAAACTAGGTGATATATATACAATGCCTAAGTAAATTTTTAAACACTATATTCATGGAAGAATGATAATTATTTTAGCAAAGCAAGGGAGTAGAATGGAAGGTTGGAGAAAAAGTAGACAAACTTTTACTGAAAGGTAGTGTGTTATCATTCCTTACCTCAGGCCTGATGGCTTGTGCAGGAAGGCCTCTTGACTTGGCCCAAGCAAGATAAACAAAATTGCAGTTTTTAAAGGTGGGGCAGGTGGCCTAGTAGTGCTATGCCTGGTTCATGGTATGCAGTCAATAAATTATTTGTGTGCTGACCATCATCTACCTGAGGTTTTATGTGGTGCTCCTGCTCTTTCCCATCTTTTACTCTGTTTGTTCACTTTTGCTGATTTTAACAGTATTTTGCCTTCAAAAGTATTGTGGATACATGAAAAGATCTTCTGTGGTATGACTGATCCTAGACCCACATCTCTCAGGAGTGGCCATGCAGATAGGCCTATGCATAAAGGTGGGTGGAGTGGTCTATAGCACCTACATTAAGAATTTGGGGACTTCATGAGGGACCTTTTTGTGTGATGACTTGCCAGCGTTTTCAAGAAAAATTGGAAAGAGGGCATTATTATGGTGGTGGGGGCTCACAGAGTGTGAATATTAGAACTCATGATCAAAACAGGAAATGAGGATGACTTACCTGTGGGAACACTTTTTAAAATAATGGAATTAGGGTACCCAGGGTTAGTAACTGGGATAGTGGTCACTTCTAAAGGAGTATCATATTGTAAGTGCTCTATATGTATTACCTAATTTAATTCTTACAACTCTGAAGCAAGTAGAGAAAAGGGAAAATAAAACCTCCTTCATAATTTGGAAACACAAAAAGCTTTAAAAGCCTCAAGTTTTTCAGAATTCATTTGAAGATTATACTGCTATGACCTGAAATCTGACTGAAAAACCCACATAGGATTATTATGTAAATTTATGAAAGATTGTAGACTGTGTTAATTTAGCTAACTTACTGTGCATGTTCATGTTTTGCTGCAGAAATATTAATGGACTATAGAGGACTTTATCAGACCTTGCTTGCTGTATTACATAATAAGTGGTTTATTAAGCATGCTATTCTTCTAAATTCTAGACAAATGAAAACACATCTGAGCTCCTCTGTAAGAGTTTAAGAGTAGATATTTTCACTTTGTTCCTCTGCTTTTATAGAAGCTGATAGAGGTTAAGTAATTTACCCTTGGTCTGAAGCTGGTATGTTAGGAGCCATGGTTTTTACCTATGTCTACTTGAGATACTTTGCCAAAATCACTTTGAATCACTCCCATAAAAGACTTTCCTTTTGTCATCTTGGCCTGTGTGACAGGCCCCAGGAGGGGGGGGGTGTTGTGGGACATGGAATCATGTCTTCCTTCTTTGCTATCCACCTTCATTCCCCTCCACTCCACTTTGTGTTTGTTCAAAATATGAGTCTGATCATTCCACTCACCTGTCCAAAATACTCTCGTGCTGCCAGAGTGTCAAATCCAATCTCCTTAGACTTGGATATGAGGATCTCTCTGCGGAGTTCCCACTGACTGCAGTAGTGTGAGGTGGTCACTAGTGTGGAATCTGTACATTGTATACATGTGTTGTAGTATCCTTTGAATACCTTTGAATATGTTCAATTAAATTTTTTTAAAAATATGGAATCTGGATCTGGCTCACAGAGATTCAGACCCTTCTCTGTGTGAGGTCTGGGCAAACCACTTACTTTTCTGTTTTTATTTGTAAATAAGAATGATAGAGTCATCAGCCTACTGAAGTCATAGAAAGGAGTGAATTAATGCAACAATGTATACAGTAGGCACTCAAATAATGCCAAGTACTATGATGGTTTCTCTAGCATTGTTGCTTGCTGCCCAGACTCCTTCTTTTCCCTACCACACTTTGATTGTTCCACCTGAACATGGACGATGGCCGAAGTCTGCTTACCCTTGTGCATGCTTTCTTCTTTGCTTTTTTTATTATTGCCTGCCAGTCACATACCTATTTGTTTTTTACAACTCAGTTCAAGGATCATCTTTGCTTTGAAGACTTGCTTTCCTCCCCCTTGCCCCTTGGGTCCTCTTGATGACAAATTTGTATTTCTGTTGTGGATAGTATTCTTACTGGTCTGTTGATGTCTCTTTTTCCATGCATTTTAAGGCCCTGAGAACAAGTCCTGTCTGCATTGTATCCCCAGTTCCTGACAGTCTGCCACAAGTCACAAAATCATTATTTATGTGTAAGTAAATAATATGGGGAGAATTCCTTTCATCCTGGGTAGGAATTTCTAGTATGTGTGCTATTTATAAGCAATTGAACCCACTCTTGTTAATTTGAGGTGAAATGGAATTTATTAAGGAATAGCTCACAGTATTTCCAAGAAGTCACAAAATGGGGATTTGGAAGTTATACAGACAGAAATGAGTCACAAGTTATATCAGTGACTTGTTCTGGTGGATGGGATGCCCTCTTGCCATGCTGGGACAGAACATGGGGTAGTCCTTGCCAACACTGAGCATATTGCACTGTGATTGCCTTGACTGTAGGGATCATTGTTGCTGCTGCCTTTGGAAACAATGCCTCTTTTCACTCTCCTCCATCTTTGCCAGAGTGCTATTCTGCAGTGCTTCAGTGTTGCCTTCTAATTGTGTTGTTGCCTTCCAAACTGATATCTTCCTTGGATATGCCTGACCAGTGGAACTCAAGTCAAAGAGATTGCAAGAGAGGCTGGCAACTGGGGAAGGGATCCATTATGAGAAAGCCCAGATTCATAAAGTGGGAGGGGTGCAGAAAAAGATTTCAAAGATGCCAAGTGGCCAGAATATGTGGCATTGAGAATGACAATTGACAACTGTAGCAGTGCTGGTGGTATTTGGGTGATTGTTGAACAAGGTTTTGATGCGGTGGGAAAGAAAGGGTTTCTTGAGCAAGAGGAGCCTGAGACTCCTAAGATTCAGTGCAAGAAAATAATGGAGTCATTTGAGCTTAAAACTCCAGATCTCTGATTTTCTTACCTGTGCTCTTGATTGTTTCCTTCTCCATCTTCCCTATATAAACTGATGTTGTCTAGAGAAATATGGATCACACACATTCTTCATGATGACCATCTTCTTGGAACTGTTGGCTATGAGTGATTCATTCATAACAAAGAAAGGGAGGAAGTATTCATCTAAATTAGTACTATTTCATGCATGTTTGATATTTGCACTACTCAATATGGTAACCACACATGGCTATTGAGCACTTGAAATGTGACTATTATGTCTGAGGAATCGAATTGTTTAATTTATTTAAATGTAAATATCTACGTGGCCAGTGACTAATTTCTTGATTAGTGGCAGGGATTTGGAAGTTATACAGACAGAAATGAGTCACAAGTTATATCAGTGGCTTGTTCTGGTGGATGGGATGCCCTCTTGCCATGCTTAGGAAGGTCAAAGAGATCACTATATATATATATATATATATATATTTTTTAATTGGAAAATGTACTTAAAAATATATTACAGGCTGGGGTCATGGCTCGGAGGTAGAGAGCTTGCCTAGCAGGTGTGAGGCTCTGGGTTCAATCCTCAGCACCACATAATAATACAAAAATAAAGGTATTGTGTCTAATTACAACTGAAAAATATTGAATATATATATGTGTGTGTGTGTGTGTGTGTGTGTGTGTGTGTGTGGTGTGTCACAAGCTAGCATAAAACCAAGGGTTGCTTTATGGAAAATAAGGAGTTTTTTAAATTTATAAAAATGATTTTTGGTATGTTGATTTAGCAAGAAACAAGTAAATCGTGATATTGTGATACTGGGTCCAATTCTTAACAGCGTTTCCTCATGTTAAGATTTCTTAAACTAAGTATTTAAAAAAGAGTTTGCAATAACAATATTTTCCAAATAAACGCCTTGGAAAATACTTATCAAGAAAGAAAAAAGAGCCCAATGTTATAGGACAGTGGTCCTTGAACCATACATTACAGTTACCATGGCAGGTTTGTGATGACATTGGTTGCAGGGTGCCACCTCCAGTTCTTCTGAGTCTGTGGGTCCAGGTAGGGATGAACATTAATATTTATGAAAATCTCTCAGATGATATTCATGCTGCTGGTGTGGGGAGTACACTTCTAGAAACCCTGACATTTCTTAGAAATGTTCTGCTACACAAAATTACCTCAAGTCTTTCCTTATAAGGACATCTCAGAATCTTCCATCTGCAAACATTAATTCCGTATCTGAAGCTCCCACAGGGGCTATACATGTAGCACATTTCCCACTGATTTGATCAAAAAGGCTTTTATCTCAGGATGACCTAAAGACTAGAATTGGAGAAACACAAATCCCATAAAATTTAATTGAGTTAACCACATTCTTCTATTTCCTTTATCCAATCACAAAACTGGAGTCCCACATACTCAATTCAGAGCTGCTTTCTCTTTACCATCCATTATTTCCTCGAAGAAGAGC